AAAAATGTAGATTGTGGATGAACCACAAATAGTCAAGTACAGCTTAGGATGTTCTTACTGGAACAAAATTCTAAAAGTTTAAAAAAATCTCTGTTGGAATGTGAAGCTTAGAATATCTGGTGTTTGATATTTTTAAATATTAATTCCTCATTTGAACTTGTCTGTGTAAATGGGAGGTTACTACAACTAATATTTTGAGCTGAGATTTATCGTTTTAGATTAGAGGAAAACAGGAAATGGTCTAGTTAGCTGCCACGAGTCATCGAAACATGGGTTATTGAGAGCAAAATTTTGTAGGCTCTTTTGCTATGGTTGACAAAGTCAAAACGTTTTATGGTTGAATAGAACCAAACAAAAATGTTTGTTTTGAAATTGAGGGGTCTATAAGCAGAAGCTGACATAATAAACGGTATCAGCAAACTGACACTTACTTTCTCCCAACAACCTTTATCATGGGTAAGCGGTAGAAGTCTAAGTAACTATGCTATTCTATTGGGATAGTTCCCAAAAGTTGCAATAACTTTTGAACCGTAATTGTTACAGCAATGGGGGGTTGCACTATTTTGTTTAGAATTATAAGGACCATAATACATTAGTTTTAATCAAAACAGGCTTTTTTCCAAAAATCCGATATTTTGTTATTTTATGGGAAATAACACAAGTTACAATAACCTTTGAACCGTACTTTTTACAGAAATTGGATCTGTACCATTTTGTTAAAAATTGTCAGGACCATAACATACTAAATATAATCAAAGTCAACCTTTTTCCTAAAAACCTAAAACCAAACATGCATCATGCCTTGTTACAAAATTGCTGAATTCTGATTGGTTATTTGTTAACTAGATATCAGGGTTTGCATTACTCCATTACAGGGTCAGGGAGTTTTTTCTGTTTCCAATGTCAGTTTTCAATCTTTGAAACCCTTATCAACGGTCACGTTATGCACTTAAATACATGCATCTACATGCATGTACATGGTTTGTAGATTAAAATTATGTATCCAACTCAATTATAGAAAAGAAATATTGCTTGCAGTTTGTTCCTAGGCTCCTCAATTGAAAACAAAAAAAGTTGTTTATAGTCTATAAACTTATCCAATTTAGTTATTAGAGGGCAAGCTTTTCAAGAATTTGTGAGAGTAGTTAGTAAAAAGCTTTGTATCGTACCATATTTTGTATATGTATGTTTTATATGCATAATATTTTTGTTATATTTTTTGAGTCTTATTTAATTATTGTAATTGTTTTTATTCCCGGGTCTATACTCCATGTGCAAATTTAAAAAATATTTTACATTTGTTTGTTGTTTTTACTGTAGGTTTCCATTCTAAAAAGACATTATATTAATGACTCCACACTAGATGTAACATTTTGTATTCATACATGAATATTGTGTTAAATGTTATATTCTGTGAATATTGAATGTTTGTGTTTGTAATTTACATTTAGGGAACTCATAATACTCTCTTGATTTCCTCGAGAAGGATAACTTGTACAAATTTTATAAATTTTAGCTTTTGTAAATTTTAGTTTTAGTCATAATCAAAGTCTTACTTTTCCTTCCTTTTCCTTTGCCTGTTGTATATATTCAGTTTTCCTTTGTTGTTGTATCCAATTGTACATAATTTTATGTAGCTCATTTCTCGCGTATTTGGTGCAGTCATAGCGAGTATGTTTTCTGTACAAAGGTATGGGTTATTTTAATGTAAATTTTCTTGTAATCATGGATAAATTATAATTGTATTAAAATTTAAATGGGTTTTCTGTCGAACCTTACTTTTCCTTGATTGATAAAATACCCAGTAAGAAGGGACAGTTTAGCATTTAGCTGCCCCTAGTTGGCCCAATAATTTTTCCACCCCCTTTTCAGGTTAATTTGCTTTCCTACAAACCTTTATTTAAAAATGATATGCCTATATTGCTCAAATACCACTCCACAATGCAAGTTTTTTTTAAGAATTAACTTGGTATTGTCCTTATACAAATTCTGTCTTAAACACTTTTAGTAATTTTAATTAGTTACAAATAGTCAGCTCACGTTTGTGGACGGTCTAACCCGAAAAAAAACTCCTGCAACAATGCATGGCCATTGCTGCTGCTACAGTGGCTTTAATTTCAAACCAAAAACATGAACTCCGTTGATATTATGGATTACACATACTCCCTTGGTAGATTTGTCATCCTTATGGATGAGCGGAAGACAACTCTTGTTATTTAACCAGATGAAACATTAAACCATATATAGTCATTAGTCATAAACAATAGCTTTTACCCTGGTTATATTTCAAGAAATTTAAACATGTCATAAAATTAACCCTAAAATGATAGAAATAAAATTTTGTGGACACAAGCTTCCAGTATCACTGGGGTCAAAAACAAAGAAGAACATGGATAAAATTCTAATTCAGCAAAAAAGAGCTTTAAGAATAATGTTTCATTTAAAATCAAAAGATTATGATTTTTTAGTCAAGATTAATAGAATTAAATAGATACTAGTGGCTTTTAGGGGGCAATAGCCCCTATAAATATTCTAGTAATTATTTTGTTCAAATTATTATTCGCATCCGGGTTACCCTACCTTGAATATAATACAACTAAGGAACATTTTTTAATAATAATCTTCATGACTATTAATTGAATATACAGGGTGTTGAAAATGTCTGGAACCAACATTATATCTCGTGAGTGGTTAAAGAAAAACAACTGATATTTTGTGTACGGATATACTATGGTTTTACCTATCTTTTAGTGCCTTATGAAAATTTTTACCACTTATAGGGAACGTCCTGTGGAGGATGCAGTAAAAAGTTTTAATGGAAGCCTATGGTAAATGATACATCATTTTAAAGGCCATTTTTTTCTGAGTAAGGAGCCACAAGTTTCATCTCAAAAGAACCACCCTAGCAAAAATGGCGACTGTTTGAAATTTAAATAACCACTTATAGGGAACTTTCTGTGGAGGATGCAGTAAAAAGTTTTCTTTGAAGCCTATGGTAAATGATACATCATTTTAAAGGCCATTTTTTTCTGAGTAAGGAGCCACAAGTTTCATCTTAAAAGAACCACCCTAGCGAAAATGGCGACTGTTTGAAATTTAAAAATTCCGTTCCCTATAAGTGGTTTTTTTAAATTTCAAACAGTCGCCATTTTTGCTAGGGTGGTCCTTTTGAGATGAAACTTGTGGCTCCTTACTCAGAAAAAAATGGCCTTTAAAATGATGTATAATTTACCATAGGCTTCCATTAAAACTTTTTACTGCATCCTCCACAGGACGTTCCCTATAAGTGGTAAAAATTTTCATAAGGCACTAAAAGATAGGTAAAACCATAGTATATCCGTACACAAAATATCAGTTGTTTTTCTTTAACCACTCACGAGATATAATGTTGGTTCCAGACATTTTCAACACCCTGTATAAAGATTTCTTTGAATATAGACAAATTCACTTAGAAAAACACATAGAAATAATGTTATCTTCCAAATTGTAAAATGCTAATTCTATAACAAAATCTTTCTGAAAACAACATTTTGTTGCATGGTATCAATTTTGGCCGATTCATTGGTCTTTATTTGGTTCTAATACTATTTTAACATCATCTGGCCGCTTTACCCAGCTGAACGCAACATAAAGTTGACAACGGGTAAAATTCGTTTTTAATTTTTTATAAATGCCAAGTTTTGTGAAGGTTTGGCCTTGCGCTTTATTTATAGTAATAGCAAAAGCTAATCGCAATGGGAATTGAATCCTTGTAAACTTAAACTGCATATTAGGATCCGTAGATATTCGTTTTATTTTTGGCATGAAAACTTCTGAATTGACACTTTCTCAGACTTGCCTAACACAACCAATCGTACTCCATTAACTAATCCAGACCCTAGGTTCATATTTCGTATGAGCATCACTATTGAACCAACTTTTAAAACTAATTTCTGTGGTGGCATTCCAGATGGTGTAATTGAATTTATAAACTCAATTGGTATGTTCAACCTCTCTGTAGGATCATCTGAAACTACTTCACATTACTGTAGTATTCTTTAAAGTCTCCTTCGATGATTTTTAATACTTCTACATTAAAATTCTTTTTTGTAGCCGAAAGGGATGCAAATGCTATAGCACTATTGTACTGTTTTGTATTTTTCATAAAATGGGCGAGAGTTGTACCATTGACTATTGGATAGTCAAAGGTTGTAGTGTCCACTTGTCGAGTCATCCAGTCATCAATGAAGTGCAATGCACCACAATGAATTCATTTCGAGGAACAATACCTGTACGTGGTGGTCTTCCGACATTATCATTATTACTGTGCAAAAGAACAATCCATTGTAAAGTATTAAGTTTAAAAGTGCTAAATTGTTTGTTAAAAGATTTGATCAACTTTTCACTTTTTGTTGTTTACTACTTCAACATTTTTACAATAACAAAATTATGCACATTCAGGTGGTGTTATAAATGTTTCAATTTATATAATCACAGCTGTTTTTACTCTAAAAGACATTAAATTAGATTCCCATGCTATTTAAATGTGAATTATTTTATTCCGTAACAACCTTTTGGTGCATAATTAAGAAAAATGAATAATTTTCCCCAAAATTTCATGCCCAGACCTTTAAAATGAGACCCCTCCCAGCTTTCTACGACCTCCCGTTCGCTCACAATTTCATTGTAAAATTTTGGGCTTACGGAATTAGATATATAGATATACTTGAAAATTATATTTAGAAAAATCTTTGCTGGACGTGGTTATTCTAGGATATAGTAAATCTTACTAAGATTATAAATGTGAAAGTTTGTGTGTTTGTTTGTTTGAAGTTCAATCATGCATTAAATATTTCTACTAGTTCAACTAAAAGACCTTCAGGCAAAACAGGTAAATTAAATTATTGTATAATACAGGTCTTTTCACTGGGTTCAAACAACATTATACAGTATTATCTATTTACTATGTCCTATGTATACTAACTGTACATCGGATGGTACGATTGAGTAACATCAGGGTGTATAGTTTTACCATGTTAATGTTACTTTATTGTTTTTGGATTAATTTGATCCAAAAAATAAATTCCACACAGACTTCCACCGTCTTCCTGTTGGTTTCTGACTGCTCTTCCACCCTGATTGAGTTTGTTGATTCCTCAATCTTTCAACAGTTGGGAAAGTAATGTGTGTTTCAGACTGGGGAGGTTTCTTGTCAAGCTTCACAGGACCAGGTTCAGGTTTGGGTTCAGATTCAGGTTCAGGATTGGGTTTGAAGTACAACTCCCTGGGAACGTCAACAAAAGTTTCTCCTTCGCCATGGCGGACCTTCAGTTTAAAATGCTCGAGATCATCTGATTCATAAATTTCCCCTCCTTTTTTGTTATACTCTTTCTTTATCCAGGCGGAATCGGTCATATGGTTCAAAGTAGCTTTCAATTGAACATATCTTGTTACCAGATCGCCTAGTTCAGATTGACATCCTAAATAATTATTACGTGTTTCATCTTGGTGATCAGGGGTTTGTTCATAGAAGAGTTTGGCGCATTTAATGTCTTTAAAGTAAATTTGTTGTTGTAACTCGTCAGTTGTTTCCCCAACAGATGTGGAAAGTAGGAAAAGGAGAACCACCTGAAACCATACACAAAAAACTAAATTTAGAAAAAAATATAGCCTAGTGAAAATTAAATTATACTGTATATATAAATTATTATGTAATACTATGGGTATCCCAGAAAGAAATGCAAGTTTAAAACGAAGAAAACAGAAAAATTGCTTTATTTACAGCAATTTTTGCAAGAATACCTGTTTGTACACTTCAGGGAAATTTCTTGTGAAAGATTACATCATCCAGATGTAGACCCCTCCGGCGCCGGCACTCCACCAAACAAAACCTTACAACTGTGAATACCCTATGGCAGAGTTCTGGTGTGATGGCTTCTATTTCCTCACAAATATTTTGCTTCAGATGATCGAGGATAGCTTTGTTGTACACCTGACTTTTTAGATAGCCTACCCCCACAAAAAAATTCACCAAATCTGGAAATGTCTTTCCCACGAAACAGCTTCCTTATTGCAGTCATGGAGTCCCCTGCTGTATGACACTTAGCTCCATCCTGTTGGAACTACAATCTTTGCCTGTTAGCCCGAGGTAATGTCTGCAAGAACGGCTGGACTGGAAATGATCAGTAATCATTGTTATATGTACTGGTGGGAATTTACTGACACAGTGTTCCCTGTGTTATCCTCTAAGATATACGGCCCAATGATGCCTGTTTGAGTCATCCCCACCCAGTTTGTGTTTCTCCCTTGGGCTTTCTGCAGACCAATATATAATGGCAGTTTTGCTTATTCACATATCCATCGAGATGGAAATGTGCTTAGGTCAATAAATATTATGGTATTGAAATTTCTATATTGACGAAGCATCTCGTTTGAGTAGTTAATCCAAAGCGGGTAGTCAGTCTCTTTCAATGCTTGTACTAACTGAATTTTGTACGGGTGTAACTTCAAATCTTGTTTCAGTACTATATTCACAGTGGTTCAGGGTAAATCAAAGCAGCAGCGTATTTTCTTACTGATTTATGATCTATGTGGATTATCCTTCACAGCATCTCGAACACACTCGTTTGTTCAGAAGGTACTTCTCTATGGCGACCGATGGGACGAGCTAGGGTTCATAGTTGATCTTGTAGCTTCAAATTTGCGCACCCAGCAAACTGACCGTGCAAACCCAGTTCACTGATGGCGTTTGGTTGATGAGATCATAAAGTCTGTATTGAGCGCGGAAGGGAAGTGTCCTAAAAATGTCACATGAGAAAGCGTTTGGTAATACACAACATGGCTACAAACCCCTGATAAGCTTCTTATCTTATCTCTCTTGGATATTCGGCTTTACCCAGAATAAAAGTGCACTAGTGTACCTGTTGCTCGAATTCGAGCAAATGCTAAGAATTAGGGGTGTTATTTTAAAACGAATAACAGTCATAATTTCTGATGACTTTGAAATATACGACTCAAACATTATGGAAATACTCAAGATGTACAGACCAGATCGATATAATCAACATTTATTATAAATAGTGCTTTCTACAAATAGCCTTAGTCATAGCCGCATTAGGTTTCCAGACATATATTATGTGTCCAAAAGCCTAACAGCACGACACCCTTCCCCATACCGCCCTGAGCGATAGGGATCATTGAGATTCGCTCTAACCTTTCCTCTCCCCTTCATGGGCAAGTTTTCATTCCTTTTCTTAGTTGGTTTGTTTCTTCTTTTAAATTTTAAAGCCTTTATGTATCCCTGGTTTTTCATATTTCCCAGCTACTTTTTTAAACGTCTCAATTGTTTCCTTGTCACTCATCATGTTTTGTTTTCTCATCTCTAGACCTATCTTATCCAAGACTTATTCCTGTTCTCTCATATTTTTCTCCTGAAATTAACAATTTATAAATACGTGACTCGGTTTTTATTTATTCACATCTACATACTTCCACCATGCAAAATCTTCACAAATTCGCCTTGAAATTTTCCATGTCCTGTTCTCCCAATCTTGTTCCAGTCTCTTTCTGATGTTAAGCATATCCGAACGTTTACCTTTAAAACTTTAACATGAAACACTCTGCTCCCAACGCATTTGCCACTCATCTAATATCTCCTCTCTTCTGTTTCCGATGTAGTCCTACCCACCTCCTTGTCTTCCAAAATCAACAGCTTATGCAGTATGCAGCGATTATCCAACAGTCCTAAATAGAATGTGAAATCTTGATGCGGCTATGTTGGAGAGCACACAAATGCAACACGGAAGGGTGCTTGCTGTATTTGGCTATCAACGACAATAGTATTACTGTATTTATATTTTGTTCGTGTCTAACAGTTGAACCGTTATGTCAAACTTTTTGGGGTTATGTTTTGATTTTGTACAAAATTTTAGTATGACCAGCTGTTTCAAATATTAGTGCCAAATTCAAAGTACAGTATTCATCTGTTCAAATGTAAACAAACATTTTCTCCCTAAGAATAACATGGAAACTTTGATGGCCACTGGGGCAGAGCCGTGATGGAATTCCAAAGTTTTTTTGTTTGATGACAAAACTACATGCTATAAGACCTTTCTAACGACACCTTGGACATGGTGATCGGTAGCACCACCACTCCAAAACAATTATGACAAAAATATGCCTAGCGTATTAAATATATAGATTCCTTTCTGGGACACCCAGTAATTCTAAAAAGATTGAATCAAATTTACCACATCTTATCATACAAAGGAAGGTTAAAGTAAAGGAGCAAGTTTTCCCTTTTTACTTAGTTTATTTTATATAGCCAACTATATCATAACCAGTTATAAGCTGTAGTGACGCCATTACGTATTTATACATATATCTTATGTATATATCTTATCTTACTAATATTATAAATGTGAAAGTTTGTGTGTTTGTTTGTTTGTTTGTTTGTTTGTTTGTTTGTTTGAAGTTCAATCACGCCTTAACTACTGGACGGATTGGGCTGAAATTTGGCATGATGATAGCTCACATTCCCGATTAACATATAGGCATATTCTTATCTCAAAAATCATTTCGGGCTCCGCCCCAGTGGCTCTGTAGTTACCCATGTTAACCTTATGAGTATTCATATTTAAAGGGAATTAAATAATTTAGTCAGCTGTTTCAACTTAAAAAGTTGGTTCTATGATATGCAAAAGCATTAAAAAGTTATAAGATTTACCAACAGGGTGCAGCACTATATTTTAATGCATTTATGAAAAAAGCTAATTTGAACTAAGCAGCAACAAAAAACCGCTATACACAATGAGAACTAACTGTTAAAGTAGGATTGTTTACAGTTATATTTCTGTTGTTAATTTTATGAATAATTTTGGTTTTTTGCGAATTTTTGATAATTTATTTTTATACATTGTTTAGGTGAAGTGATAGAACATTATGGCCATGGTAGATGTGTAATACTATAGAATACTGTAAATTTAAAGACGCAAATTTTATCAAACTGTGTCCTCCCTCATTGCAAACGCAAGGCTTGAGTATAACTGCAATAAGCATTTTATACTTATGTGCCAACCCCGTACGAAGGACGGGTACTCTGCTAGTATTGTATAAATCTTGAATAAAGCTTTTCTGATTCTGGTTACAATAATTTACTGCATTAGAAATAAAATTATTAAGCCGCGTTTACACTGGAGTTAAAACAGTACTATTTCAAAAGAAATATTTTTATGTTCAAAACAGTTTTTTAGTGCTTACAACAGAAATGTTATTCCCCACTAGAAGTCGGTAAAGATTAAAGAGTGTTTTTGTCAATTTATTATATACTAGCAGAGTAACCGTCTTTCGTACGGGGGGTTGGCGTTGGCATATAAGTATAAAATGCATATTGCAGTTGTGGGAGAGGACACGGTTTAAGAAAATTTGGTTCTTTTAATTCATACAGTATGCTATAGTGCAGCGCATAGCACAAAAATGCCAGCTAAGCTAAGCATAAAACTAGCATAAGATTGGATAAAAAATTCAAGAAAGCAATTAGGAAGGCTAAATTTATATTTATTTTATAATTTAAATTAAATTTAATTTGATTTAAAACCTACATTTCATAAGCTTGTTTTAAAAACTACAAAAATGAAAAAAGTTAATACGGTTCATTTGTTTAATACTCCAGTTAAATATTGGTAAATATATTATTTTTATTTAGAGAAACTCTTAGGGAATGGGAATAAAATGATTATTTGTATAGATACATCATATTTATTTCAAAATCGTAATTAAAGTAATCATATGTTTAAAGACCAAGACAATTCATTTAACTTTGATCTTCAATAGTAAATAATAAAAAATACTGTAGTTTTCTTAGAAATTATTTACACCATTCGATAGGAAATTTAATTTACTTTAAGAATGCCATCGGTGAACAACACAGGTATTTTAGTTTAGCGGGAATTTTAAATCGAACCAGCGTGCGTTTCGTTTTTCCTTATCTCTCCCATGATAGGGGACATGTAAGAACTATAACAAGAAATGCTTTCTTCTTATACCGTACTATGTACAGTATAGGGGGAGAAAGTAAAAAATAATAGTGCTGCACCCTGTTGGTAAACCTTATAACTTTTTAATGCTATTTAATATCATAGAACCATTATAGTACCAACTTGTGCAGTTGAAACAGCTGACAAAATCCTTTAATTCCTTTTAAATATGAATACTCATAAGATAGAATACTCATAACATGGGGAACTCCAGGGCCACTGAGGTTGAGCCCCAAAGGATTTTTGAGATAAGAATATGTCTGTTAATCCAGAATGTGAGCTATCATCATACCAAATATCAACCCTGTCGGTTAGGTATTTTTCATGTTTATTCACACACATCCATCCATTCATTCATCCATCCATAGTTACATCCAAACTTTCTTACTTATAATATTAGTAGGGTTTTCTTGATTATCAATACATTTAACTTAGGTGAGTTGTGGAAACTGAATTTTTACCCATTTAACTGTACATTTTTATCATACAAAAACTTTTTGTGAATAGTTAAGATCTATATATCTACGTTTAAGCAAATTAAAAAAGAATCAGAAAACTAAAATTAATTTTTTTGTCACGTTAAGGATTGTTACACATATAATATCCAGTAGATACCCTTATTATTTATTTATAGATTACAATATTGGTTCGACCAATATGAGCTATAGAAATACAACTGAAGTTAGCACAGGACTGGTAAGTATGCTAGAAAATTGACATGCTGTAACATTTTGTTATGTTAGTACGAACTAGAAGAATCAACCAGCTCATTTTCAGGGGTTAGGTAATGCTCCATAATTAAGCAAGAAGACCAAAATAAAATATTGCACTTTTAAAGCTAAACATAAATGTTGCTGTTAACCTTTTGTCAGTTTCTGAGCTATAAGAACGTTAAAATACTTTCAGTATGTATATACCAATAAGAATGTAAATATTAACTTTTAATGAGTCTGAACAAAGAGAAATTATTCAAGAAAATTAAAAATTAGGAAACATCTAAGTTTGTAAAAGCTACTATTAAATTAAAACTGGTATGAAATAAGCTAACTTACCAGCATGGATGTGATCATATTGAATAGTCGAGCCATATTGTTAATTGCTTCTGCACTAGTATTAAATTACATAATTCCTGCTGAATCCACCTGTTTTCGTTTACCACCTGATAAAATTCCATTAGATTGTTAATGGGTATCTAGATAAAACATAAAACATCCTCCCTTAGTAGATTTCACACCCTTATGGAACAGTCGCTGAAGCCATTTCATTGTTAGTTCTGTCCTCAGGTGCACATCATAGGTCATGTTTGGTTTATAATTTGTTTATTGTTATTTCAGTCACTTAAACCTCGGTTCGCCAAATAAAACAACCTAATTATAAACAATAGCTCATCCTCTAGTTATATAACCAAACAAAATTTAAAATTAGCAAAAATCTATCTTATATTTACAAGCGTTTCTGAGCCACTGATGTTGGTTTTCACATCACTAATGTTGTAGAGTGGTTTAAGCCGGGTATCCACAGTGCGAGGCTGCTCGCTGCGAATGCCTCGTGCCATCTGCCTCAGGGTGAGCTCTTTAGCTGGCAGCTAGTTTGTAACCACGAATGCTCACTGCGAGCACGTAAACATGGGGCGAGCCACCCGCATTCGTAGTTAAGACAATCGGTACAATGGTGTTTTTTCATAGAAAAGTGCAAGTTTCTGCTGCTGCTTTTATTGTGATGGCAACGATTATTAATAAAAAGTGACAGAAAAAGCGACGTAAACATCGTTGGTGGGTCAAAAAGCTTTATCAAAATCGGTTTCAATATGGGAACAGACTTCTTGAAGACGTGAGGTTCGAAGAAGACGTGACAAATTTCTTGCGAATGTCCAAGGAAGATTTTGAACATTTAGTTACATTGAAATCCATGTTTTAGCCCCTGAGCTGTATAATAACTAAGCCTATTTTTAGTAGTTACATTGATAGAGCCTGCCGTGAAAAAAACGCGATACCTACATGCGAAGTGCTATTACCACCAAGGAAAGATTAGCTGTTACTCTAAGATTCTTAGCTACTGGAGACTCATTTACAAGGTACGGTGCGAGGCAGACAGCGCAGGTCTCCCCACTTAACGCACAGCTCGAGGTGAGGCACCTTTGAGCACTGCTCTGAGACCGACTAGTACACGGCTCGCCGAGCGCCGCACAGGTGCTCGCAGCGAGCAACCCCGGTATCCACATTCCGAGGCAAAGCCGAGCATTCGCATCGAGGCATTCGCAGCGAGCTGCCTCGCACTGTGGATACCCGGCTTTAAGTGTGTGGAGCTGGAGATTTACTTTTATAGCAACTGGAACAGTTTATTTTTATTTTATTTTATTCCAACGGCAAAACTATTATACATAACAATACAAGAATTCAACTAAAGATGGCTATAGGTACTATTCACATACTTCAAAAATGAAAAAAAAAATACTGAGTGCTACATGAGTTTGACTGAAGCACCGCTGCACCGTTCCCACGGGGCATGAGGCATTGGGAGTGAGCCTTTCATCGTGAAAATTCGCTCCGTGGGAACGACGCGGAACGCGGAGTGAATTTTCGGTAACGTCACTCAGCCAGCGTGGTTATTGTTTTTATCATAGCTACCTCTACTCCACAAACGCCCACACTGCACTACGGAACGGATTAAAAATGTTTAATATTTGGGCGTGAGCGGCTGTTTTTGGCGGGGTTTTGTGCTGTTTTGAGGTGTTGTGGTAGTGTCGGTGGTGTTGTACAACTTCAGGGGTGTGCTATGTTGGAGCCATGGCCAGTAGGTACATGATAAGTCACTAAAGGTAGACCAACATTGTAAGCAGTTTCATTAAAATTAAATTAAGGCATTTCCATCCCTTTCTGTTGTTTATATTACTTTGATAAAGGTTTTCATGTTTACATATTTAATAGTGGAACATTTTAATGTTGCTTAGTGCACAGGTGTGCTGCGATTGGGGTTAATATATTTGGGCTTATCCAAAAGTAAACTGTGTGGCACTATTTCAAATCACGACCAGGTACGTGATTATTCACAACTACAAAACAGATGGTGAAAGTAAAAATCTTTTATATTTTTATTTTATTTGTATTTATATGTACATTGTGGCATAGATAAAACATAGAATTGTGGTCCCAAAAGTTTGACATTCGACCCCTCCAAACCCTCTACGGCGTAGCCCTTTTGACAGATCTGCACAAAAAACTTCACTAGAATGTTTTTTGATGAAAATGCCAAATGACTTTTTAATTTCTCTCTGCTTGAAAAAAGTTTGTATTAACCGAAAGTTTGCGCTGTTTCATGTTTCATTTTTTATAATTCTATAAAGAAATCATCAAGAACAATTATATGCCCAACAACTATACGTAACAATTGTTACAAAACAACACAATTATATGCCTTCATGCCTAAATGCTTCCTCTTTCATAGATTGCATTGTGTCCACTGAAGATTGTTGCTTGCAGACCGTATATCTTAAAATATTCTATACAGTCAATGTTTATAGTTAATACCATACATATTCATATATGTTGATAAATTAAACATACATACATATGATTTTTAAGCCACTGTGTTGGCAGACTTGATATTTCGATCGTAGTCTGCCTAGAAGACTGGCCGGCGGCCTCAAATCTCAAATCGGTACTCGTTAGTCATTTTACGTCAGTTGTGAGTGAAGTCGTCTGCTATCGTTGGATAGATTGTTGACTCGGTAGTTGGGAGTTAATCTCACCGAATTTACTATTTTTATATTGCGACGTTTGATATTTTGTCAGTCGGACTTCATAAATATATTTAAATATTGTGTTACATTAATCCAACTTTTTATAGAACCAGTTATTTTGAAAGTACTGCCAGGTGAGTGACATTCTGTTCATTCAATACACAATAGGCCTAGGCTATCCTTAGTAGGCTATTACGAATTGATTTGTAAAACCGCCATGAGGTTTTTCCATATTTAACATGGGAGTTTACCTATAGTTATTTTAAAAAATTAAATATAATTCCAGACCATTAAATCATGTTACCGGCGTGACTGCAGTAGGTAGGCCGGAGTCATAACTTTTATAGGTTAGGCTAACATGTCAGCCATAGTAGACCAAAAATCTGTAAAAGAGGTTGAGGTTCGTTAAACTAGGCTAGGGTTGCCATATGGTTATGTGTAAAAAAGAGGAGATTTTAGCTGGCGGCCCCCACTATAAAAACTTACTAAGTGGATAAAAATTAACGGGCTAGCAAAATTGTATAGGTAGGGCCTACCAGCACAGAAAACGTACTACTATAACCCAGAATGCCAACCGCATGGTAAAAAGTATTAAGCGTTTTGAGAGAGCTTTGCCTGTCAATCCGTAGGCAGCGCCACCAGCGTTGCCATGCAATAGCATAGCAACGCTGGTGGCGCTGCCTACGGATTGACAGGCAAAGCTCTCTCAAAACACTTAATGCTTTTTACCATGCGGTTGGCATTCTGGGTTATAGTAGTACGTTTTCTGTGGTACCAGTCACAGCAAAACTATTAGGTAACATAAACTGTATGAGTCATTCAAAGATTTATTTGCCGTTAAATATTTACAATAAATACAATAGGCTTCGTCATGCTTATTTTTAACTAGAACAATGCAAATTCACAATGCCAGTGATTCACAAACTTACATAAGAATTACAAAAAATATAAATATGAACACCTGATTTGGTCAGGATGGAAGGTAACTTACAGCAGTTAGGGGTTTATAACTTTAAACATACATATTTAAACAAAATGATGTCACTGGCCCGAAATTTAACATGATTTTATTATTATTTAAATGGGACTGTCAAAGAACATCCAAACTAGTTGTTAACTTATTAGCCTATATAGACATTCGGGCCAGTTACGTAAATTGATTGTATTTATTAGTCTATAGGGCCTATACTTACCGTTTCTGTTAAATATTCGTGCTACATTGTCAATATTCAAATGGTATAGGCCTAAACTTACACGAAAACATAAAATGTTGCATCGCTTGTCACATTTCAGTAAAAATAACGAATACCGGTAACCGAATACAGCCAACAAAACGCTCTCTGTCTGTCTGCTAGGCTTTGGAAGAAAACACGGATACCTTGGGACTGGCCGGCAGATGCGAATCGAAGGACTGGGAGCAATGAAACTGACGATAAGTTAAAGATAAAGTAAGAACGTTGCTGGCCTAAATGAAACTACGGAATAAAAGAACGTTAGTAGAGAGTACGAGAGTTGCATTTTTCAGGTATTGCATAACGATATTTGTGAACGCAAAAATTTATTTTATTCCAAAATTGTCGTTATTTAATAATGTATTTTAATAGAGTGTAAAAAAGAGGTAGGCTAATTTCTCACTTTTTGCAGAAATCCCCCGGAGCTAAGTTTTGAAGGTCAAAATCCGGTAATCTCCAGGGAAATCCGGGAATACTGCAACCCTAAACTAGGCCTAAATGGTTCAAAGGAACAGGCTGCATCTTTGTACCGGGCCTTTCAAAGACATGTTTCAACCATGTAAAAAAACATATTTGTTAGGCCTTTTTGCAATTTGATGTTGAGGTAACTTACATATTCTACTTATAGGCCTATAGGATATTATGATGTATTTGCTGAAAAGAATGAATTTTTCAGTGTGGAATAAGATTTAAATATTGTTCTTAGCATTGAATATAAACTGTAAGGTTGTTGAAACTGACCTGTTACACAACACTTATATGCAATGAAAACAGATTCCTCTCAAATAACTGAACCAACCATGCTTCTGCAACCTGTAGCGATATATTACATATCTTATTTGCTGTAGAGCCTAATTTATGCTAGAGTAATTTAGTAGTAAGACCGTTCTATTGTTTGAAATTGTGCATTTTCTTTTAGTAAATTTCCCATATAGGGGATAAGCTATTACCGTATGTCTCAAGGTATGACCTGCATCCGGGACCAATTTACTTTTTTGTTTTGAGGCCCCCAGAGGCCAAAAACACCATTTGTTCAAATTCACATGTATACATATGTGTCTGTTTGCTCGATAACTAAAGCAAAAATGATCCAATTTTGATGAAATTTGGCATGAACGTGTAAACCTACATTTATTCGAACAAGTTTGCAAACCAGCATGATTGAACTGTGGGAGCAAGGATTTATGGGGTAAAAATGGGTTTTCCCATATTTGACCCTTAAAACATAAAATTTAGCAATTTCTTAAACCGTTTTGTAGAGCTAAAAAAAAACACTATTAAAGAATACTATTAACATTTAACTATAAAACAATTTACTATCTTCTCTGTAGCAGCAAACCTACGTATCGTACTTGTTAAACTAATGTTATTTAAATACGGAATAAATATGTCATTTTTAAGGAAGTATTTTAGTGAAAAGTCCAATAAGGCGTATGGCAATTCGCTTAGCTTGCAGGTTTGCTGCGGCAGGGTATTTAAAAGTTCGGTTAAATCCTTTGAGCTCCAAGGGTGTAAACTTAGTACATGTGAAAAATCATATAACCAAACTTTCAAGTAGGCCTAGCCCATTTACCTATGCTATTTCTTTTAGAGCTAGGCTAAAACACACAACTTCTGGGTTGACAAAAATAAAGATAGTTCAGCAGAACTAGGTCTTGGTCTATCAATGGCCATCCAGAACATTGTCCTCTCCTCTGGCCAGTGGACAGTGTTGTCATTGACTATATACAGGAATTTTTCTACTCTTTACTCAATATTGGTGAGTCCACCAAAAACTTGATTTTAAAAATTGAATTTATATTCAATGATAGGCTAAGGGAAAGAATATATAATATGGACGGAATGGGTGTTCTAGCTATCACAAGTAAACTAATGCATGTCCCTAAATATTGTTTTAAAATCCTACAAAATTTCCTAGTTCTCAAAAATATTTTTTCAAATTAAATCGTACCATAAAATACCCCGCTGCAGCAAACCTGCCGACTAAGCGAAATTCCATTTGCCTGGATTGATTTTTCAATTAATCTATTAAATTAGTAGTACCTAGGTTAGCTGCTACAGGGAAACTAATAAAGTGTGTTTTTTGTTAAAATATCAATAGCTTAGTATGAAATTAATAAATACGCCAAGTTTGATCAAAATATATCCATAAACAAGCCTAGTACCTACAACATTTTACAATATTCTCCATAAGAATAACATGGGAATTTTAAATTAAATTTTTTTTTTATTTTCTCCTTAACCAATTACCGTACAATAGCACTTTGATATATTGAATTTGTTCAATTGCAGCAATCAATTTATTCAATTGTTTTTTAAGCTCTTTAAAAGGCTAGTGAAACATTGATAAATTTAGGTTTAAGGGTAAAAAATTAGAAAACCTATTTTTACCCCATAAACCCCCCCCCCCCCCCCCCCCCCCGTTCCCATGGTCCGATCATGCTGGTTTGCAAACTCATTCAAGTTTATCCCGCCTTACACCTTCAAACCAAATTTGATCAAAATCGGACAAAAATTACTCAAGTTATCGTCTGGATGGAAATATATATATACATGTATACAAATTTGAACGAATGGTGTTTTTGGCCTCTGGGGTCATCGGTTTAAGTAAATCGGTCCCGGGCCTAGGTCTTACCATGAGACCTATGGTTATAGCTACTTCCCTATAGGGAAATTTGCTAAAAATTATATAACAGAAATTTTAAAGAACTCCATCCATCCAAATACATTTCAGCTGGTTATTTAAATGTACAGTACATTATACTACAACAGGTTAGAAGATATGGGTTTCAGACGTTAAATCTTTAATAAATGTCTAAATTGTCAATTACCCAGCGGCAAAGATTTCAATATTTAACTTGGTTAAAGTATTATGGCCTTCTAAAAGTCTACTATGCATTTTACAAAAATTAAAGTCCTTTTTAGTGAGCTGTTTACTTCCCTATGAACAATCTCCATGGCCTGGAAGTGTTTAAAAACCTAATTCCTGCTTTAACTTTACTTATGCAGTTGTGTTGTAAAAATTGACCCCTGACAGCAATTCAATGGCATAGTCAGGTTCAATGCATAGTCAAGTTGTGTTGTTTTGTTTATGAAGAGTCATTCAGACTGCATAAAGTATCTTGCCAGGCAATAAGTGTGTGGACAAGCCAAGGTTGGAGGTATAAAACTGAATATAATTCTTTTCAATAAGTTTTTGAGACAATTTATTGGTTTGTTTAATGTTATGAACAAAATAAAACGGGATTAACAAAGATATTTTAATGAAAAATACATTTTTTTTTATTGTTAGTTGCTCATCAACATTAACCCATATTGAAGAAAGGTTAGCATAGGTTAAAAAATTCTTAAAAGTTTTAAATAGATTATCCAGCTAACAATGTTGCATGTTTTTTCATATTAGCAAATTTCTCATATAGGGAATGGTGTAATCTTCAAGAAGAACTGGTAATATTGGAATTAATATTAATTTGAAAATAACAACTTTACCAATATTTCTGAATTTTTAATTTTATGAGGCCTTTTGCCAGCTATGCTGGCATCATCAGACACATCACAAAACTGAAGGTTATGTTTATGTTTTTAAAAAACAAAAAAAATTAATATTAAATAAAAATTAATATAAATATGTGTGTCCATTAGCGTGATAACTCGAGCAAAAATTATCCGATTTTGGTGAAATTTGGTAAAAACGTGTAAACCTACATTTATTCTAACGAGTTTGCGAACCAGCATGATCGAACTATGGGAACGGGGGTTTATGGGGTAAAACACAAAATTACACTTTCTTTCTAAGCCATTTTGTAGAGCTTAAAGAAAAATAATTTAGTATATTGAACCGTTAATATGCGCCTAATGGTTACAGAGAAAATTCCCAAAAATTTTAAATTTAAAATTCCCAT